TCTGAGCCCAGCAGGTTGAGGCTGTGGTGGCCCTGAGCATGCCACTGCATTCCGGCCTGGGCAACAGAGTGAGACTCAGACTCAGAAAAAAAAAAATGCACTTCATCAGACTAGCCACGTTTAGCACTCACAAGCTACATGTGACTATCAGACGACAACACATAAGGCAGAGAGTTACTTTAGACAGCACTGTTTTAGATGGTGGTCTTCAAAGTGAGATAGGAATTCAAAACATTTCCTCCTGCAACAAGTTCTGAATCTAGTGAAAGTGAAAAATCATGAGTCCATGACGCATAATACTTGCTTTCTTAACCTCTTGAAACACACTCAGAGGTACTCAAATGTTAGAACTGACAGTTGTGAGGGGAGTTGAGAAGGTGAGCAACTATGAAAACAGAATGGAATTATAAAAGACAAGAAAGAACGAGTATCAAGTGAAAGGAAAAACTGGGGGGATAAGAGGACAAATTCAGAAGCCAGTTAAAGTGGCTTATGCCTGTAATCCTAGTACTTCAGACACCTGAGTTGGGAGATTGAGACCAGAGGTTCAAGACCAGTCTGGGCAACATAGCAACACAGTCCACCCAACAACAAAAATTAGCTGGGTTTGGTGGCATGTGCCTTTAGTCCCAGCTGCACAGGAGGCTGAGGTAGAAGTATCACTTGAGCCCAGGAGTTTGAAGCTGCAGTGATCTATGCTCGTGCCACTGTACTATAGCCTGGGCAAGAGAGTGAGAGCTGCTTTATGTACATGACTAACATATTTACATGGAGATGACTAGAGTAGTTAGAATAATAATAATAACAAAGTGAGCCAGGCTCAGTGGCTTAGCCTGTAATCCTGCGATTTGGAAGGCCGAGGTGAGCGGATTACCTGAGCCAATGGGTTCGAGACCCACCTGGGCAACTTGGCGAGACCACATCTCTACGATAAATCAAAAAATGAGCCGGGGGTGGTAGCGCGCGCCTGTAGTTCCAGCTACTTGGAAGGCTGAGGCGGAAGGATCGCCGGAGCCCAGCAGGTCGAGGCTGCGGTGGTCGGGAGCGGCCACTGCACTCCAGTCTGGGCAACAGAGTGAGACTCCAACTCTAAATAAATAAATATAACACCATCACTCTTTTTGGGAGTCTCACTCTGTTGCCCAGGCTGGAGTGCAGTGGCACACTCATGGCCATCACAGCATATGGAGATCTCTCTGCTTCAGTCTTCCAAGTAGCCAGAACTACAGAGGATTGCTTGAGCCCACGGGCTTGAGATCAGCCTGGATAACGTGGTGAGATCTCGTCTCCACAATAAATCAAAAAATTAACTGGGCATGGTAGCGTGTACCTAAAGTTCCAGCTACTTGCAAGGCTGAGACAAAAAGATCGCCTGAGCCCAGTGAGTCGAGACTGCAGTGGCTGTGAGTGTGCCACTGTACTCCAGCCTATACGACAGAGTGAGATTTCAACTCAAAATGCTGTATATAAACCAACTGGAACAAAGTAGGGATCAGATAAATGGCAGCTCTTTTTATTTAAGACATATTTGCAGCCAGGAGCAGTGGCTCACGCCTCTAAACTCAGCACTTTGAGAGGCATTGGTGAGAGGATTGCCTGAGCCCAGGGATTCGAGACCAGCCTGGCCAATTTGGTGAGACCTCGTTTCTACAGTAAATCAAAAAATTAGCTGGGAGCCAGGCTTGGTGGCTCAGCCTGTAATCCTAGCGCTTTGGGAGGCTCAGGTGAGTAGACTGCCTGAGCCCGTGGGTTGGAGACCCACCTGGGCAACTTGGTGAGACCTCATCTCTACATCAACCAAAAATGAGCCAGGGGTGGTAGCGCGCGCCTGTAGTTCCAGCTACTTGGAAGGCTGAGGCGGAAGGATCGTTGGAGTCCAGCAGGTCGAGGCTGCGGTGTCCGGGAGCGGCCACTGCGCTCCAGTCTGGGTGACACAGTGAGACTCCAACAACAACAAAAAAAAAATTAACTGGGCATGGTGGCGCATACCTGTAATTCCAGCTACTTGGAAGGCTGAGGTAAAAGGATCGCCTGAACCCAGCAGGTTAACCCTGCAGTGGTCATGAGTGTGCCAGTGCACTCCAGGCTGAGTAAGAGTGAGAGACTCCAACTCGAAAAAAAAAAACCCAACACATTTGCGTTACATACTTTTTTTTGCTAGAATTAAACTGACCAATAATTAATTATTCCTTTCGACCAATGTCTAGTGTATCTCAGAGAACCAGCTCCGAGTAGAAACTGTTTTGAAGATAATATATGAATAAATTTTTTTGGTTTTTTTGAGTTGGAGTCTCTCACTATGGGTACGCACCACCACGCCCAGCTGATTTTTTGGTTTAATGTAGAGATGAGGTCTCGCCAAGTTGCCCAGGCTGGTCTCGAACCCGTGGGCTCAGGCAATCCTCTCACCTCTACCTCCCAAAGTGTTGGGATTATAGGCGTGAGCCCTCGCATTTGGCCATGAATAAAGTTTTAATTAAAATGTTCTAATATTTTAAACAGCATCTACTCAGGAGTACTTGAATTTTCAAAAAGCAAAAAATACCCCAAACTTTAGGAAGACAAAGGAAGGAGGCAGTCTCTTACAGAGAACCTACTTCCAAACCCAAAACGGCGATTATGTGATGTTAACACTAGAGAGGGTTTCCTCCAGGAAGTTTTACTCTTTACTTTGGTCATAAAAACTGATTTTAAGGCTATTGTAAGTGATCTAGTCAGAAGCTGATTTGAAGTAGGCAGTGGGAACGAACAGAATGAAAGTTAATACTGATTTTATTTTTATTATACTTTCAAGTTGCTTACTTTTCCATTCCTTCTGCCTTAGTTCAAATAAGCATTTAACTGGTGTGTTACTGTTATTTTTAAAATTAAACATGTAAACATATTTAATGACCAAATAATAAACGGCAAAAAAGAAAAACCTTCAAAATAATACAGGATGTAATTGGTAGAAAGTATCAATTTTCTGCTCCTTTCACCTAACCACTAAAATAAAAAAACTTAAAAATCACAAGTAATGCCAGGGAATGGTGGGTTAGCCTGTAATTCCAGCATTTTGGGAGGTTGAGGCGAGAGGATTGCCTGAATCTGGGGGTTCTAGACCAGCCTGGGCAACTTGGTGAGACCTCAACTCTACAATAAAATCACAAAAAATTAGCTAGGCCTGGTGCCATGCATCTGTAGTTCCAGCTACTTGGAAGGCTGAGGCAGAAGGATCACTTAAGCTCAGCAGATCGAGGAGTGAGTGTGACACTGCACTCCAGCCTGGGTAACAGAGTGAGACTCCTACTCAAAAAAAGAAAAAAAGAAATCATCACAAGTTTGTGTGAACAATATAAAATTTATAATAGCTAAAGTCTGCCTAAAAAACAATTCCTACTTTACGCTTGGCAAATATAAACCCCATATTTAAGTAATACAGCTGAAAAACACAAAAGGTGGCATACTTAAAAACATATATAGTTTCATACCATAACAAGTTTTCTTTTTTTTTGAGTTGTAGTCTCACTGTTGCCCAGACTGAAGTGCAGTGGCCGCTCCCAGCCACCGCAGCCTCAACCTGCTGGGCTCCGGCGATCCTTCCACCTCAGCCTTCCAAGTAGCTGGAACTACAGGTGCACACTACCATGCCCGCTAATTTTTTTGATTTATTGTAGAGATGAGGTCTCGCCTGCCCAGGCGGCTCTCAAACCCGCGGGCTCAGGCAATCCACTCACCTCAGTCTCCCAAAGGCACGGGATTACAGGCTGAGCCACCGAGCCTGGCCATAACAAGTTTTCACTATAATTTGGAGCAGCCATGTCCAACCTGTAGCCCATGGGCTGCACGTGGCCCCAGAACAGCTAATAATGCAGCCCCACAAATTACATGTTTTTTAGCGTTTATTTTTTTCATGAGCCCATGGGTAGCTCCATTTTTGAAGTTCACAATCATGCCTTATTTATGATATCGCTTTTTGGCAGCACATACACTTGTGAGCAGCTATTTTCAATTATGAAGCTCACAGAGAACAAAATTCTAACAAACGTTTCTGAAAAACATCTTGAGAACTAAGAATTACAACCACTTCCACTGAACTAGACATTGATACATGAGTTTTATCCCACTACTTTTATATTGTTCTTTTTTTTAAACTTTATAATAAAAGAATTTTTTTAAAGTCTTGGGTGGGATTGGCAGTAGTGGGAATCTGCCGGGAAAAGGATGGGGGGCGCACCTCATCGACAAGGTACCTGCATAATTAACATTTGTATACCTAACCCTGAATTTGTACCCCACATCTTTAAAATAAGTACATTGAAAAAGCCTTATTTTATATATATATGTAATATGCACATACTAACTTTATTATATAATTTATACACAGCCCAAGACAATTCCTCTTTACTCAATGCGACCCAGGGAAGCCAAACAATTGGACACCTCTGATCTAGAGCATATTTGTCCTCCAAGGCATATTTTCTGCATACAGAAACTCAAATTTATTTAATTGAAATGCAATAAGAGAGTTGATAAAATTCTTATGAACAGAGTAATTGGGATCAACATCTGTTTAACAGTAAAAGCTAAGCCCACAACGCATTCTGGAAACTCCGGGCTGAAGTCAACACAAGTGCAGTAAACTGAAAAAAGTGAACTCCAACATTAATTAAAATTCGTTTTAATAAAAGTAAAGTTTTAGCCGGGCTCAGTGGCTCAGCCTGTAATCCCGTGCCTTTGGGAGGCTGAGGTGAGTGGATTGCCTGAGCCCGCGAGTTCGAGACCCGCCTGGGCAGCGAGACCTCATCTCTACAATAAATCAAAAAATCAGCCGGGCGTGGTAGCGCATGCCTGTAATTCAGCTACTTGGAAGGCTGAGGCGGAAGGATCGCTGGAGCCCAGCAGGTCGAGGCTGCGGTGGCCGGGAGTGGCCACTGCACTCCAGTCTGGGCGACAGAGTGAGTCTCCAACTCAAAAAAAAAAAAAAAAAATTAAGTTTTAGAGGCAAATTACTTATAATGTTTGAATAACACACATTCTTCCTCTTATACAAGTATACAAAAAGCTTCACTTTCTCCAGTATGACACAGTTAAATCATGTATGTATCCCAAGCTGATCTTTAATTAAATGAAATTTCTTTTTGAGGTATCACTTATTACTTCAATACATCAGAGAAATTTACATAACAGTCTAGAGAACAGAAGTAAAAGATAATAGATGCTTCAGTACTGCCCATATTATCTACTAAAACCACTGTGTGAGCAACAGAGTGTAGATTCATAGTCCTAGTTTCTTGAATGAAAGAGTTCAGACAAAATCTTCCACAACTGCAGGTTTTTGCAGTATCCAAATCTTGGCAAAGATGGAATGGAATGATACGAGAATCATATGGAATCCTAGTGGAAAAAAATGTTTAAAAATATTTTAAACATGTTAATATTCAGAACTTCATGTAATAACACAAATTATTAAGGACACTAAAGTATAACAATGGAAAAATGAAGTTACTTTATTACTCAAATGACTCAGTATATTGCTTATCTTCCCAATGAATAAAAACAATACAAATGTGCCAGGCTCGGTGGCTCAGCCTGTAATCCCAGTGCTTTGGGAGGCCGAGGTGAGCGGATTGCCTGAGCCCGCGGGTTCGTGACCCACCTGGGCAACTTGGCGAGACCTCATCGCTACAATAAATCAAAAACTAGCCGGGCGAGGTAGCACGCGCCTGTAGTTCCAGCTACTTGGAAGGCTGAGGCGGAAGGATCACCGGAGCCCAGCAAGTCGAGGCTGCAGTGGTGGGGAGCAGCCACTGTACTTCAGTCTGAGCGACAGAGTGAGACTCCAACTCAAAAAAAAACAAACAATAGAAATGTACTAAAAAGGGCGTAAGACATATTTTAAATCTAAGATATCACTCCATAAAATATCTTTCAGCATGACCCCTTATATCATAACACCCTAAAATAGAAAGTCATCTGTCCTTTATAAATACTATCCTCGGCATCAATTGTTTAAAAGGGAAATTTTTTAAAACAATTTAAGACATTTATAATTTAATTCAGAAAGAATGATGAATGTTGCAGTTTTTGAAGTTCTTGTTGATATTTTGTTTTGCTTTCAATGGAGATGAGGTCTCACTATGTTGCCAAGGTTGGTCTCGAACCCCTGGGCTCAGGCAATCCTCTTGCCTCCCAAAGTGCTGGGATTACAGGCATGAGCCACCATGATCAGCCTAGCTATTTTTCAACAAATAAATAAGCCTACTCTTATAACTTAAAGTAGAGTTAAAAACCCTATCAGAAAACTCTAAAGAGATACACATCAAATAAAAAATAGAATTACCTTTGGTAGGGAATCTAGGATTGGTCCTATTTGCAATTTCTTTTTCTTTTTTTTTTCTGAGTCAGAGTCTCACTCTGTCACCCAAGCTGGAGTACAGTGCCATGCTTATGACCACTGTAGCCTCGACCTGCTGGACTCAGGTAATCTTTCCACCTCAGCCTTCCAAGTAGCTGGAACTACAGGCACAAGCCACCACGCCTGGCTAATTTTTTGATTTATTGTAGAGACACGGTCTCGCCAAGTTTGCCAGGCTGGGCTTGAACCTGTGGGCTCAGGCATTCCTCTCACTTCAGCCTCCCAAAGTGCTGGGATTACAGGCATGAGCCACCATGCCTGGCCTGCAATTTATTTTTCATAAAAAGAATGCATTAATTTGTTGCTGATGTATAACTATTTCTTTAAAACCCTGCCACACATTTACACCATTCTTTCTCAGAAGAAATCTTTATAGCCTGAGGAAACAGGTAATAGTTAAAAACTTTATTTTCTAACATAACTTAAATTCTCACAGATTTTCCTAATAGATGGTAACTTTGTGTTTGGAATCAGTAATTAGGACCATTTATCAACAGCTAGATAACAGGTATTGCTGCATTGGCTTTGGATCTATACTCTTTTTTTTTGAGTTGGAGTCTCACTCCGCCGCCCAGACTGGAGTGCAGTGGCCACTCGCGGCCACCGCAGCCTCGACCACTGGGCTCCGGCGATCCTTCAGCCTCAGCCTTCCAAGTAGCTGGAACTACAGGCGCGCTCTACCACGCCCGGTTCATTTTTGATTTATTGTAGAGATGAGGTCTCACCAAGTTGCCCAGGCAGGTCTCGAACCCGCAGGCTCAGGCAATTCACTCACCTCAACCTCCCAAAGGTGCAGGGTTATAGGCTGAGCCACCGAGGCGGCTTGCTTTTTTTTTTTTTTTTTTTTTGAGTCGGAGTCTCACTCTGTTGCCTAGGCTGGAGAGCAGTGGCATGCTCACAGCCACCACAGCCTCGACCTGCTGGGCTCAAGCAATCCTTCCGCCTAAGCCTTCCAAGTAGCTGAAACTACAGGCACATGCCACCACGTCCGGCTAATTTTTGATTTACTGTAGAGATGAGGTCTTGCCAAATTGCCCAGGCTGGTCTCGAACCAGAAAGCTCGGGCAATCCTCTCACCTCAGCTCTCAAAGTGCTGGGATTATAGGCATGAGCCACTGTGCCTGGCCAGGATCTATATTCTTTTTAAAATAAAGGGGCTAGCAGGGCTCGGTGGCTCAGCCTGTAATCCCGCGCCTTTGGGAGGCTGAGATGAGTGGATTGCCTGAGCCCGCAGGTTCGAGATCCGCCTGGGCAGCAAGACCTCATCTCTACAATAAATCAAAAAATCAGCTGGGCGTGGTAGCGCATGCCTGTAATTCCGGCTACTTGGAAGGCTGAGGCGGAAGGATCGCCGGAGCCCAGCAGGTCGAGGCTGCGGTGGCCGGGAGCAGCCACTGCACTCCAGTCTGGGCGACCGAGTGAGATTCCAACTCAAAAAATAAAATAAAATAAAATAAGGGGGCTGAAACCATGCCAAATTATACTTCAGTAAAGGTGAGAGTCACCTTACAAGAAGCTATATTAATAGAGGCAAAGCCGGGCTCGGCGGCTCAGCCTATAATCCCGCGCTTTGGGAGGCTGAGGTGAGTGGATTGCCTGAGCCCGCGGGCTCGAGACCCGCCTGGGCAACTTGGCGAGACCTCATCTCTACAATAAATCAAAAATTAGCCGGGCGTGGTAGTGCGCGCCTGTAGTTCCAGCTCCTTGGAAGGCTGAGGCGGAAGGATCGCCGGAGCCCAGCAGGTCGATGCAGTTCCAGCTATTTGGAAGGCTGTGGTGGAAAGATTGTTTCAGCCAGCAGGTTGAGGCTGCAGTGACCGTGAACGTACCACTGCACTTCAGCCTGGGCAACAGAGTGAGACTCCAACTCAAAATTAAATAAATACACCATAAAAGGGGCCCATCTCCAGAAATTCTGAACTAGTTGGTCTGAAGTTGAATCTAGGCATATATCTCATCTATATTATTTAAAAGCTCCTTGGCCAGTCTCGGTGGCTCAGCCTGTAATCCTAACACTTTGGGAGGCCGAGGCAAGTGGATTGACTGAGTCCACAGCGTCAAGACCAGCCTGGGCAACTTGGCAAGAACTCGTCTCCACAATAAACCAAAAATTTAGCTGGGCGTGGTAGTGCACGCCTGTAGTTTCAGCTATATGGAAGGCTGAGGCAGAAGGATCACCGGAATCCAGCTGTTGCTCAAGTTGGAGTGCAGTGGCATGCTCACAACTACTGCAGCCTTGACCTGCTGGGTTCAGGCAATCGTTCCACCTTAGCCTTCCAAGTAGCTGGAACTATAGGTGTGTACCATCATGCCCGGTTAATTTTTTGACTTACTGTGGAGATGAGGTCTTGCCAAGTTGCCCAGGGTGGTCTCGAACCCATAAGCTTGGGCAATCCTCTCACCTCAGCCTCCCAAAGTGCTGAGATTATAGGTGTGAGCCACCTCGCCTGGCTGCTCTTCACATTATTCTAAATGCAAACTAAAGTTTGAGAACAGCTTTAGAAGAAAAGTTCCTTCACTGGGAATGGTGAGGAGGGAAGATTGGATTGGGTTGGATTGGATTGGATTGGGTTTCAGTGGTGCAAAATTCTGTGTACTCATGTCTGCATTTTTCTGAATCCTTAACATTGGTTAGTTTTATTAAGAGCACCTCCCCTTTTAAAAAAACTTAAGAAGCCGGGCTCGGTGGCTCAGCCTGTAATCCCGCGCCTTTGGGAGGCTGAGGTGAGTGGATTGCCTGAGCCCGCGGGTTCGAGACCCGCCTGGGCAGCGAGACCTCATCTCTACAATAAATCAAAAAATCAGCCGGGCGTGGTAGCGCATGCCTGTAATTCCGGCTACTCGGAAGGCTGAGGCGGCAGGATTGCTGGAGCCCAGCAGGTCGAGGCTGTGGTGGCCGGGAGCGGCCACTGCACTTCAGGCTGGGCGACAGAGTGAGACTCCAACTCAAAAAAATAAATAAATAAATAAATAAAATAAAAAATAAAAAATTTAAGAACCTCTTATTTGAAATAGTATTTTCCTACTATTTTATAGGCACTCAGTAATACTTTGGTCCACATCTCAGTTTCCACACTTACATTAAGGAAGCATGAACAAAATGAGTAACTGGCATTCAGGGTCTCACGAAACCAAGTGTTCAAAGACAAGGGGATAAAAACCAGTTATAAGTCCTACTATAGGCCAAATGCTTTGGCATTACATCAGTTCATTTATCTTCACACCTCTGTAAAGTGGGTATTAGCGTTCACATTTCACAGATGAGAATACTGAATCAAAAAGGTTAAATAGGCTGGGCTTGGTGGCTCAGTCTATAATCTCAGCACTTTGGGAGGCCAAGGCGAGTGGACTGCCTGAGTCTACAGGTTTGAGACCGGTCCTGGCAACTTGGCAAGAACTCATCTCAACAGTAAGATAAAAAAAAATAGCCAGGCGTGGTAGCGCACACCTGTAGTTCCAGCTACTTGGAAGGCTGAGGTGGAAGGATCGCCGGAGCACAGCAGGTCGAGGCTGCGGTAGCCGGGAGCGTGCCACTGCACTCCAGTGTGGGCGACAGTCTGAGACTCCAACTCAAAAAAAAAAAAAAATTAGCCAGGTGAAGTAGAGCGCACCTGTAGTTCTGGCTACTTGGAAGGGTGAGGTGGAAGAATTGCTGGAGCCCAGCGGGTTGACGCTGGAGTGGCTGTGAGTGTGTGCCATTGCACTCCAGCCTGGGCAACAGAGTGAGGCTCCAACTCAAAACAAAAAAAAGAAAAAGAAAAAAACGTTAAATAACTTGCCAAAGAGACAAAATGAGGAATCAAACCCAAGTCTGACCCCAAAAACCAAACTTCACCACTATGTCTGATTGAAGTTCTCAAGCTTTAGGGTACATTAGAATCACCTGGAGAAGTTATTTTTTAAATTTATTTAATTTATTTAGAAAATGGCTCACTCTGGTGTCCAGGCTGGAGTACAGTGGTGTGATCAAGCCCTCAGCAGACTCAACTTCCTGGGCTCAGGCAGTCCTGCCTCAACCTCCAGAGTTGCTGGGACTACAGAAGTGTGCCACCCAACCAAGCTAATTTTTAATTTTTTGTAAAGACGGAGTCTTGCTTTGTTGCCCAGTCTGGTTTTGAACTTCTGGTTTCAGGTAATGCTCCCACCTTGGCGTTCCAAAGTTTTGGGATTACACAAATCCACCATATCTCAGACTTTATTAAAACACAGATAGCTGGACCATACTCTCTCAGTTATTAATTCAGCAAGTCTGGGATGTAGCCTAAGAACAGCTCTAACAAGTTCTCAGGTGACACTGATGCTGCTGGTCAGGGGAAGAGACTTTGAGAAATAGTGCCATTCATTCATTCAACTACTTATTAAGTGCCTAATAAAGGCCAGGAGCAGGGGATACCACATTTTAGATCCTAGAGAAATAGTGGAAAATCAAGCTTAATATATGTGCCCACAGTGGGGGGGGGGGGGGAAACTGACAGCAAACAAACCATCAAAAAACACCACATTAAAATAGGACAGGTAAGACCTTTCTGGGATGATACTTGGGCAGAGAACTGAATGAAGGAGTTACAAGACTTACTAGAGAAAAACCATTCTAAGCACAGGTAAGGAACAGCAAGGCCATTACAGCAAGGAGTCAGATTGTGCCAGCATTGTAAGCTATGCTAGACTTTATTACTCTGGGTTTGATGAGAATACTTGGATGCTATAAAAAGTACCACATTTTGTGACTACTAAAATCTTACCTATTATTTAATACAGTTCGTGCAGAAGATTCCAATAAAGTTAACGGAGCTTGCAGCTTTATAACCGGAAGGACTTTTGGTTGTTCAAAAGTATTTCCAAAAAGATCCACGTGCTCAAGGGATAAGCTTTTAAATTCACTAGGCAAAAAAGGAAGCTTATTTCGAGCTGCTGACAAAAAGCGAAGGTTTGTTAGTTGTCCTATCTTGCAAGGAAATCTAATCAATTCATTATTATCAATTTTTAAATCTGTAAGTTGTTGGAGTTGGCAAAACTGCACAGGGAGTGCCTTGATTTTGTTCTTGCTGAGATCTAAACTCCGAAGTGACTTCTGTAGTGTAGACTGACATAAGGCTACACTAAATGACTCCAAGTGATTGTCTTTCAGGTCAAGTTCTTGAAGGTGTATGAGGTCTCCAATTGTTGCTGGAAGCTTTTTTATATGGTTGTGACTCAAGTCCAATTTCCTAAGGTTTTTTAAGCAAAGCATTCGCATATCAACTCGGACAAGCCCACAATGAGAAGTCTGAAGATGTTCCAGAGAATATGGAAAGTTCTTGCTTAGAGGATAGTCCTTTTTCGATGTGATTACCATTTTAGTTCTATATTTTTCAAATTCTGCAGTCTTCACTGGCGTAAGCACTGAGAGTGGTGTGTCAACATTACAACCTCTGTGAGCCAGTCTCACAGCTGAAAGAAAGCCCTTCAAACTGTTGGAATTGGCCTAAACAAACAAAAATAAATTGTAAAATTATAAACTCCACTGCAGATAATGCATACATGTTAGTTCTTCCCATAACAAATTCTGCGGAGTTATATATGAAAGTGATACGATTTATTGAAATTGGCTGTAAAATAACTTTTAGTATTTTGACTGAATTTCAACTTTAAGAGCTTTTGAAAAAAATCATGTGGACAGCCACATTCTAAATAAAATGGTTCAATGGGGAACCGAAAGTATAAAAGGGGCCGGGTATGGTGGCTTATGCCTGTAGTCCCAGCACTGGGAGACCACGGCAGGAGGATTGCTTTAGCACAGAAATCTCATCTCTCGAAAAAAAATGTTAAGATAAGGGGGGTTATGGAAAAAAATGTAAGAAGAAAAAAAAAAGTATAAAAGAAGATAGGAAAGCATTAAATATTCCACTTAAGATCTGAGTGGACTGACCCAATCTTCAGTGCCTCCGAGAAAGGCCATGCATGTTGCATACTGCAAAACACCCAGAGTACCATTCATAAAAGACTAGGAGCTGTGCAGAGCAATGGCCCTCTCAAGAGCAAGAAGGAGATAGAAAACATGAAAGACAAGAAAGATTGTTGCCAACTGGTGAGCCAGAGAAATCACTGATGAAGTGGCATATGAACGAAATCATTAACAAAAACAGCTAATACTTGCAGGGTACTTTAGAAGTTTCCTAAAGTTTACAGGTGAAGGATGAATAAGTTTCAGCAAGTTTGGGAAACTATGTTACATGACAGTATGTTGTTGTAATGTGGGAGCTGTACAGGGTAAAATAATAAAAATATAGTATGAGGATAGATTATAAATGAGCTCAGATGGCAAGACAAGGTAGAGGGCATGATTAAGCTGTGGGAAATCACTAAAGAATTTTAAGCATGAGGAATATATGACAAGAGCTAAATCATTTTGGCAGTACAGTACACAATAATAATAAGCAGGAGTCTCAGCCTGTAATTCCAGCACTTTGGGAGGCCGAGGTGAGTGGACTACCTGAGCCCACGGGTTCGAGACCCGTTTGGGCAACTTGGCAAGACCTCATCTCTACAATAATTAAAAAATTAGCTGGGTGTGGTAGCGCGCACCTATAGTTCCAGCTACTTAGAAGGCTGAGGCAGAAGGATCACCGGAGCCCAGCAGGTGGAGGCTACAGTGGTTGGGAGTGGCCACTGCACTCCAGTCTGGGTGACAGAGTGAGACTCCAACTCAAAAATAATAATAATAATAATAATAATAATAATAATAAGCAGGAATAAGGAAAGTCTGGGGAAGACCTGGGTCAAGTGTGTACTGTAGAGGGTAGTGGCTTAGACTTGGGAGCCACCCACGCAGTTGAGCTATGGGAATTACAGAATATAGGCAGAGGACTGATATAAAGCCTTCATTTTGGGGACAGAAGAGGTGGCTAAGGATAGGAAACAAAGGAGTGGCTGAGAAAACTGAGTAAACCAGTTTAGTGCCCTACCGTAACTACCAAGGAAGGAAAGAGTTAGAAAACAACCTCCACAAAACAGCAAAATATAAGAAACGATCAGACGAGCACATAAAAAGAGTCTTTATATTATTAATCATTGAGAAAATATAATTAAAATATCTTAATTAACAATCACTTTCTTTTTTTTTTTTTTTGAGTTGGAGTCTCACTGTCACCCAGACTGGAATGCAGTGGCCACTCCCAGCCACCGCAGTCTCAACCTGCTGGGCTCTGGCAAACCTTCCCCCTCAACCTTCCAAGTAGCTGGAACTACAGACACACGCTACCACGCCCAGGTAATTTTTTTGATTTTTATTGTAGGGAGAGGTCTCGCCAAGTTGCTCAGGCGAGTCTCGAACCTGCAGGTTCAGGCAATTCACTTACCTTGGCCTCCCAAGGCGCGGGATTACAAGCTGAGCCACCGACCCCAGCCAATTAGCAATCACTTTCTATATATTTCTAAATAGTTAGATTTGGAATGTTCCCAACACAAAGAAATATCAAATGTTTGCAGCAGTGAGTATCGCTTTTTTTTCTGAGTTGGCGTCTCACTGTGTTGCCCAGACTAGAGTACAGGGACATGCTCACGGCCACTGCAGCCTTGACCTGCTGGGCTCAGGCGATCTTTCCACCTTGGCCTTCCAAATAGCTGGAACCGAGTATCTTAATTACTTTGATTACTACATGTTATATGCATGTATTTTTTTTGTTTGTTTGAGTTGGAGTCTCACTCTGTCATCCAGACTGGAGTGCAGTGGCCGCTCCCGGCCACCGCAGCCTCAACCTGCTGGACTCTGGCGATCCTTCCGCCTCAGCCTTCCGAGTAGCCGGAATTACAGGCATGCGCTACCACGCCCGGCTGATTTTTTGATTTACTGTAGAGATGAGGTCTCGCTGCCGAGGTGGGTCTCGAACCCGCGGGCTCAGGCAATCCATTCACCTCAGCCTCCCAAAGGCGCGGGATTACAGGCTGAGCCACCGAACCCGGCTATATGCATGTATTAAAAAAAAAATCACATGTGGTTGGGCGCCGTGGCTTAGCCTGTAATCCCAGCACTTGGGAGGCTGAGGTGAGAGGACTGCCTGAGCCTGGGGGTTCGAGTCCAGCCTGGGCAACTTGGTGAGGCTGCGGTGGTTGTGAGCATGTCACTGCACTCTAGCCTGGGCAACAGTGATACTTCAACTCAAAATAAATAAAATAAAATAAAATATACGTATCCCAGAAATTTGTACAATAATTATGTATCAATAAAAGAAAATCACAATAAAAAAAGATTTATTAAGAAAAGGGGCCAGGTGTGGTAGCTCACACTGGTAATTCCAGCACTTTTGGAGGCTGAGGTGAGAGGACTGCCTGAGCCCATGGGTTCGAGACCAGCCTAGTCAACATGGGAAGACCTTGTCTCTACAATAAATCAAAAAATTAGCTGGGTGTGATGGCACATGCCCGTAGTTCCAGCTATTTGGAAGGCTGCGGCAGAAGGATCGCCTGAGCCCAGCAGGTTGAGGCTGCGGTGGCCATGACTGTCACTGCACTCCAGCCTGGGCAACAGAGTGAGACTCTGACTCAAAAAAAAGAAAAGAAAGAAAGAAAAGGTGCTGGCATGGTGGTTCATGCCTATATTCCCAACACTTTAGGAGGGTGAGGTGGGAGGCTTGCTTGAGCCCAGGAATTTGAGACCAGTCTAGGCAACATAGCAAAACCTCGTCCCTACAAAAAGAATTTTGAAAACAGCCAGGCATGGTGGCATGTGCCTATAGTCCCAGCTACTTGGGAAGCTGAGGAAGAATTGCCTGAGCCTAGGAAGTTAAGGCTGTGGTGAGTCAGTGATCAATCGTGCCACTACAGTCCAGCTTGGGCGATGGAATGATTCCAACTCAGAAAAAAAAAGAAAAAAGAAAAGGACAGTTGTCACTGTCAAATTCTAGAGTTCAAAAAGGATGAGAAATAAGGACAATGTAACTGGCAAATGAAGGGAGCTGGAACTACAGGCGCATGCTACCTCACCCAGCTGATTTTTTTATTTATTGTAGAGATGAGGTCTCGCCAAGTTGCCAGGCGGGTCTCGAACCCGTGGGCTCAGGCAATCCACTCACCTCAGCCTCCCAAAGGCGCGGGATTACAGGCTGAGCCACCGAGCCCAGCTCTTTTTTTTTTTTTAAAGTTGGAATCTTTCTATTGCCCAGGCTGGAGTGCAGTGACATACTCAGTCACAGAAACTCAATCTGCTGGACTCAAGGCGATCTTTCCACCTCAGCCTTACAAGTACCTGAAACTACAGGCACAAATCACAATGCACGACTAATTTTTTGATTTACTGTAGCCAAGTTGCCAGACCTGAAACTACAGGCACACACCACAATGCACGGCTAATTTTTTGATTTACTGGGTCTCGCCAAGTTGCCCAGACTGGTCTCAAACCCGTGGGCTCAGGCAATCCTCTCATCTTGGCCTCCCAAAGTGCTGGGATTATAGGCATGAGCCACCATGCCCGGCTGTATCCCTTTTTTACACCAAACTTAGATTTGTAACCTGTGGCTTAGCAGGCAAATTGTAGATTGTGCCACTTGCCATATAGAGCTCCTGTCTAAGAAAATGCTAAGGTTCCATATTGGACATAGAAGCAAACCTAGTTTTCCTCATCATCCTGGAGATCTTTTTCTTTTGAGCTGGAGTCTCGCTCTATTGCCCAGGTTGGAGTGCACTGGCTCAGGTGATCCTTCTGTCTCAGCATTCCAAGTAGCTGGAATTACAGGCACACGCCACCATGCCCAGCTAATTTTTTGATTTATTAAAGAGATGAGGTCTTACCAAGTTGCCCAGGTTGGTCTCGAACTCATGGGCTCAGGCAATTCTCTCACCTTGGCCTCCCAAATTGTTGGGATTATAGGTATGAGCCACCATGCCCAGCCTAGAAATCTTACTAAGGCAACTCTGCCCTTTTAGAAAACGCAAGCACATCCAGGAAGCTGCCTCTTAAGCACTGCCTCTTCAAACATACCTGCAGAAGTCTGTCATATTCAGCTATGAGAGATATTAGGATGCTCAAAGTCTTATTTAAAGAAAATAACAGCCAAACCACCTAACCATTCATGTTATTATTAATACCATACCTTACTTAGACAGAGATCCACAGGAGGCTCCTTTAGCCGAACAGTGGCTTTCCCCTCATCCACAAATTTGGTGAAAAACTGCTCAACGTTTTCCTTTAGCTGCTTAACCAATGGGAAACAAAGGAGAAAATTAGATATTGTTATTCAATAACATTTATTCCAGCTAGAATGTGCCAGTCACTCTGCCAGGCTTTGGTTTGGCTTTTAATCCTTAAATCTGAGTGTTTTATAGTTTTAAGGTTTTCTGCAGGTTTTTTTTTTTTTTTTTTTAGCGATCAGGTAGTTATACCCCTCATTTAGCAGATGGATGTTATTGTTCTGTCTAGTAACTCTTTTTTTTTTTGAGTTGGAGTCTCACTCTGTCTTCCAGACGAGAGTGCAGTGGCATGCTCACTGCCACCGCAGCCTAGGCCTGCTGGGCTCACAGGATCCTTTCGCCTTAGCCTTCCAAGTAGCTAGAACCACAGGCATGTGCCATCAGCCTGGCTAATTTTTCTTGATTTATTGTGGAGATGGGGTCTCATTAGGTTGCCTGGGCTGGTCTCCTACTTGTGAGCTCAGGCAATCCTCTCACCTTGGCCTCCCAAAGTGCTGAGATTATAGGCATGAGTCTGCACCGGGCCTGCAACTCTTTTATGAGAACAGAATCTCCCGTGTTTTGGGAGAATGCTCCTCTTCTCCCACTCCAACGGTGTGGCCGTAGTAAGTTGCCAGTGATAGCTACTTGCCTTTAAATTTATAACCTCTGTCCATTAGTGGGCACACCTCTCACGAGATTATATAGAAACTCCAGAGAGCAGGAATATTGTCTCCTATGTTTACTACTCTACCTCAAAGCCAGAACAGTGACTGACATATAAGTGCTCAAAGAATGTTAGCTGGGCGAGGTGGCTCATGCCCGTCAATCCAGCACTCTGTGAGGAGGAGGTTAGAGGACTGCATGAGCCCAGGGGTTCAAGACCAGCCCGGACAACTTGGCAAGACCTCGTCTCTACAATAAATGAAAAGAATTAGGCGGGTGATGTGGCGCGCGCCTGCAGTTCCAGCTACTTGGAAGGCTGAGGCGGAAGGATCGCCGGCGCCCAGCAGGTCGAGGCTGAGGGGGCCGTGAGCGTGCCCCTGCACTCCAGCCTCCAGGGCGACAGAGTAAGACTCCGACTCGACTAAAAAAATCTAGGGAAAACGCTTTGGGAGAAACATAACTTACTGAACGAACGTACGGTTATTTGACTGTGTCCCAGACGGGACTGCTCCTTCGTGTGCAGCCGTTTCACGCAGGCTGAAAGCTAGGGATCCTGAAACGGGCGGGCCTGTTAGGCACCACTCAGTGACAACACGGTACGTCCAGAGTCGCAGGAACC